CCAGCAGAGGAACATCATGAAGGAGAAGTATAGACACACACACAAGCTAATGTCACACTGAGCTAATGTCACACACCATTACCCAATTAGCAAAGAAACAGAAACCGCTGTTATACTTAAACACTTATGATAAACATGATTAGGACGCATACAAACAAACAGACAAAAAGTTTGGGGCAGATTGTAGCAGTAGGAGTAGACTCTAATCTCCATATGCCCGCGGGACCAATCAGAGCGCAGGTACCGGTATAAAAAACAACAGTAGTCTCCTCCCTCCTATCGCCATCTTGGCCAGGTGACGGAAGTGTGTCAATCTTCCGCGTCACTCACCCTGCATGGTTGCTCGGCGCTGCTACAGGTAAGGTGGTGAACTGGCTGTCTCCGCGCACTTTATCTCGCTCAGCTGCCTTGTCTCTCGTATGTGATCCCCATAGATCCCCGGCTGTCGGAGCCGCGTAGCTCCCTAACATAGAGCGACCGCCACGAAGCTCGCCGAGCGGCGTGATCGCCCGAGCTGTCTCCTTCACGGCGACGTCAGTAACCTGTTCGATTGGGACTGGCCGGTCGTACCGGAGGATCTTGGCCACCGTTAGAAGTCCAACTAGCTGCTGTTTAGCCTACACGCCTTCTGCCTCCCTCGGTTTGCGTACATGTGCTTTTTTTTTGGCCTGCGTTGCCTCAATTGTTTTGGGCCGGACCGCCAACACCGTTCTGCTCGGACGGCTTTACCCGGAAGTCACATCCAGAGCTGCCCCTGGTGGGGGGTAAATTGTATACCCTACAGTGCTTGTTCTTTAGTTACAGATAACTTGTCTCTAATTTATTGATGCGAGTTGAACTTTAAGCTACTAACACCAAATCCACTAAGAGATCCAGAGGAACATCTTCAGCTGGTTTTCCGACAGCAGACATGAGGGAAAAGATAAGAACTACACTGATTTCTCAAGGGAAACTCTCGTGTTACCTGATGACACTGACACTGATGCGGTTAACAATAGACACAGTTACTGGTAGTTAAGATCACATCACCAGGAAAAAGTGCATTCTTGTCTAGGTTATTCCTCCTTGTGTTGGAGTCATAATCTAGTCCACTACGGAT